AATGGCAATTTCCGGAAAACCATCCCAACAACGTTGCTGATCTTTACCCTCATTACTTCTCCATTGACTCACACTTTCACTAAAAAAATGGTAGAAGTCACAAAGACACGAGTTTGCATTCAGTTTTCTAGATATTGAGTTATTCGTGGACTCGCTTCGTTGTGAAGACAAAATTCCAGCAGAAAAGAACTGCTTGGAAAAAGCTGGACACCATTTCTCTCTCATCTCGTACAGTTTGGTCAACCAAGGATTATCAGAACAATTGTATTCACAAACCATCCTGCAAAATATGAAGCAAAATACTCATTTAAAAAACACTATTACTCATTACAGATAAGCAGTTTGCTCAACAAGAAGGTATACTGTAAATGCAGAAAACATAAAAGGAAGTATACGGACAATGAAAAATACCTATTCCAATAATGATCAAACTCTGCAACAGTCTGAAGTCTGACAGAGTTTCAAAACATGATCAAATAAAGCCAAAAAGCCTTCGTCATTCCTCAAATCTCGTATATGTTTTTTAGAATTTTCAATTATGTGCCATATACAAAGACGATGCCTTGAAGAAGGAAAGACTTTAACTATTGCAGCAGACATGGCGGATGACTGATCTGTCATAATAGTTTTCGGATGCACAAAATCCATTGAATTCAGAAAAGTAGTGAAAAGCCATTCAAAAGATTCAATTCTTTCATTGAGAAGAAATCCACAACCAAACATGCATGTATGGGTGTGATGGTTAATTCCTACAAACGGTCCACATATCATATCGTATTTATTAGTACGATAGGTCGTATCATGAATAACTAGCTCACCAAAAGATAGATAATCTTCCTTCATTTTTTTATCTCTCCAAAAGAAACTGACTAAAGAACCATCCACATCTATCTCAAAAGAGAAGAAGAAATCTTCTTCATTTGACTGCCTATTCTTAAAGATGTTAATCAGGGTATTGGCATCAGAACCATCAAAAGATTTCTTGACCTGTTTTGTCAATTCGTTAAATGCATCACGCAAGAGAAAACCAACCGAAGGAGATCCACCTGCTTCCGCTTGCAAACATCGAAATCCATCAGCTATCTTGACTCCTTGTTTTTTCAAATGATGCAAGTAATCTAACTCATTAGAAGAAATAGAACGATGAGATCTAACGTGATGAACTAATGAGTTTGGACAAAACTGATGATTATGGTCCATAAGGTGTCTGACAACAACCCACTCACCGCTAGATTTTATCTCAAAATAAATTCGTGCCTTACAATTAGTACGAATGTCAACTTTTGTGAATTGCTTCCCAACAACGCCTTTATTTTTTTTAAGCCTTGTTTAGTGCAGCAGAACTCCCTTCCCCTAAAGCCAGAACCACCATCCCTCTTTCTCAAAGTAGAGTACCTAACTCCAAAACCAATCCGAAAAGCATAATCATTATACAATTGAAATGCTTCTTCCTCTGAAAATACAGTTGTACCAAGCAACTCAGAAAATTCAGCTTCCTTCACTGATATGGTTTCAACAGAAACAGGATCATGACAAACTTGTACAGTCTCAAAACTAGATGAACGTTCAGCTGCAATAAATAAATAAAGGTAAAATAAACTAAAGATATAAAATTCAAGTAAAAGAAAGGGAAACAATGTACGTAAGAAATGAGCAATACTTGGTCCGAAAGAAAGAGATTCTGTTGCACAAACAAGATTTTGGTCTTCACTGAAATTGTTGGGATATATTATCCCGGCCTATTACTGTTCAGGAGCCCAAGACATTATCCAGTACGGAGCCCGAGCAGCTAGGCCCATTTCGGCCCATCCGGCCCACTTTGACCACCAGGCCTGATATCGGCCCGTTTGGCCCATTAGGGTGGAGAGCCCCTTCTCTCCTTCCCCTATAAATACGGAGCTTAGCCTCCATGTAAAGGATCCCTTTTTCCTTTCTTCTTCTCCCTCCTTAGCTAGATTAGAACTCCATTAATGGGAGCTTCAAACAAATTGTACTATGTAATGGTGAGGAGAGTCCTAATGAGAAAGAGAGGGCTTGGACATTAGCCTAAAAAGTCCCGTGGTTTTCTCCCTTTCGGGTTTCCACGTAAAAACTGAGTTGTTCATACACATTTATACATATATTTACTATATCGTGTTGGATTAAACTCAACACTGGCGCCGTCTGTGGGAATCTGTCCAAAAAGATTCATGTGTTCTACTGTTCTTGAGTTTCTACGAAAAATTCATACCAAAATGGACTGATTTCAGCAAAAAAGGAAGAAAAAATTATTCGGGAAATCTGGGCTGTCTGGATCTTTCTCTGTGTAGCTGCCGCCGCCGGAGCATCGCCGCCGCCGCGTAACGTCGGAAGCTCCCTGAGTCAGCCGCAGTTCGCTGCACCAGCGGAAGCTCAAAGATTGTGGTCACTCCTCTGTCTGGCCGGTCGCTGCTCGGGGCTCAACCTCGATGCCAACACAACTCGAGGATTGTCCAGCCAACACATCCTTGATTTCCGCCATTAATGGTGTTTTAAAGCTCAAGGGAGGTACACCCGAGGCTCAGTAGATCTCCCGCTGGAGACCAAACCTTGTAACCACCTTCATTCCGCGGCAGCCGTCCGCACCGCGTCGGCAAGCGGCCGGCGTATGCAGTTCGGCCTTGAGTCAGCCAGCGGGTATTCATCCATTCCTTCCAAAGATGCGGAGCACTGCTGACCGAGGAGTTACCTTTGGTTCTCAGAAGACCACGTCCGCAAGACTTGGTCCAAGTAAAAGGCTGAAGAGTTTTGACCAAGTCAAAATTGGAGATTCCCAATAAACCGAGGTCCTCTTAGCTTGGACGTACGTCGACTTGGGATTTAGGGGTGGCTGAATTATTGAGGCTCTTGGGCAAGGTTGTGAAGAATATTGACCAGGTCAAAGCAAAAAAGGAATCAAAACAGTTTCTCTGATTCTGAGTGTCCCAGCTAGCCGAACCTTCATAAAGCTAAGTACCTATCGTACAATTGATTATTAATACGGAGTAGTTTAAACTATTAATAATGCTATTAATTATTATCACATTATTTAATAGGGATAAAAGTATCCCGAACTTAAATAATGTGGAGCATGGCTCAAGTGAGTAACGCTCTTGTGGTAATAATTACTTTTCACCGTCATTTTAATTAATGATTGGTTGTTATGGGCCCGACGGCCCGCTCCTGATCGGCTTTAATTAGCGAACGGAGCATACTTGAATGGCCTTTGATAGGAAAGTATCATTGCTATTACCGGTTATATCACTATTATTTATTAGGGATAAAATGTCCCGAATTAAATAATGCAGAGCGAAGCTCTAGTGATAATCAGTCAGCCAACTTTTTTATTAAATATTTAATTGTTGGTGGGTTCGATTAGCCCACTCTCGATCGGCTTTGATTAGCGACCTGAGCGTCTCCAGAGGGTAGTGCCCCGATGACGCGTTTTAATTTGGGGGGTTACGCATTAGTCCGCACGGCACCAAGTGCTCAAGCGACGATCGTACCCCAGTATCATCTACGCCATTAGGCGAGAAGTGACTCTTGCCAGACGCGGCCTGTGGGGCCCCGAGGGCACCAAAGCGCTCGGCCTCGTGTTTCCGAGGGCGGTGCGACCAACTTGGGTCTGAGTTTGAAAACTCACAGACCGATGAATATTCCTATGTGACGTCCGGCGGGCTGCTAATTGGCCCCGCCGCGGGCTGTTACGTCCTTTAAACTCGCACGATGAGCCGGGCCGAGGGTCACGATGACCCATAGGCCGGTAATCGTGGGTGTTAGAGAGAAGGCCATGCAGATGGTTATGTGTGCATATTTATTGTCGGGCCGTGCGGCCTGTTACCATGCTTATTGCGCAGCTGAAATCACTCGACGCGCTCGAGCGAAATGGTTAAAAGAAGCTCGGCCCGAGTCTTGAAGACGTTCAGGGCCAGCTAAAGAGGAGACCATCGCGGCTGAGGACCGTGAGACGAGCATCTCCACCCCAGAGACCGATGGCCTAGGAGAGAACACCTAGAGGCCGAGGGTCTAGAGTGGACTACCACGGCGGAGGACCGTGAGACGATCATCCATCATTCAGAGCCGGTGGCCTAGAGGAGACCACTACGGCCGAGAGTCGTGGGACCATCCTTACATCACGCCGACCTCACGGTACGGCGTGTTTATCCTTTGAAGACCGGCCTCGTCCCCACACCTCGCGGACGAGGACCGCTGCTTGTTTCTTTCAGGTCGACCTATCATTGCCGACACCATTATATCACGACCGGCCTCCCGGCTCGGCGTGCTTTCCACATCTGAAGACCGGCCTTGTCCCCGCACTGCGCGGATAAGGACCGTTGCTTGGATTTCAGGTCGGCCTATCATTGCCGACATCATTATATCACGACCGGCCTCTCGGCACGGCGTGATTATCTTATTTGAAGACCGGCCTCGTCCCCGCGATGCGCGGATGAGGACTGTTGCTTGATTTCAGATCGGTCTCCCGTTGCCGACATCATTATATCATGACCGGCCTCTCGGCTCGGCGTGTTTATCTTTTGAAGACCGGCCTCATCCCCGCACTGCGCGGATGAGAGCCGTTGCTGGATTGCAGGTCGGCCCCTCAGTGCCGACACTATCACATCATGCTCGGCCTCTCATCGCCGACATCATCATACCACGACCGGCCTCTCGGCTCGGCGTGCTTATCTTTTGAAGACCGGCCTCGTCCCCACCACATCGCGGACGAGGACCGTTGTTTGATTCTTTCAGGTCAGCCTCTCGCTGCCGACACTATCATGTTATGTTCGGCCTCTCGGCACGACATATTTATCTTTCGAAGACCGGTTTCATCCCCGCGTTGCGTGGATGAGAGCCGTTGCTTGGATATATCGGCCTGATCGGACACTATTGTCATCTCCTTATCAGGACCGACTGCTCAGCGACCTTATGATCATTGTTTGTCGGCTCCCAATGCCGACCCTCTTGAGTTTGCGATCAGGCTCACGACTCCCCTCCAGGAGGGGGACCATCGCCTTCGCATGACGACCAGCTATTCTATCGCCTCGTCGTTATATTTGTTCGCCATGCCACCACCATTATGTGTGACATCCCGTGATCCCTGCGAGTTTCTTGGATACCGAATGTCTTCTTCGATGTAGGAAGATCGGTAGGACCACGGACCAGGGACGGACAAAGAAGAGCTAGGGAATCTCGATGTAGATAAACCTGTTCCTCCTTGCGAGTTTCGCGGATACCGAACGTCTCTTCGAAGCAAGAGCGCCGGTAGGACCAAGAACCAAGGACGAACGAAGAATATAGATTGCCTCCCTCAAACAAAAAAAAACAAAAAAAAAAAAAAAAGATGGGGAGAAGAGGAGGGTAGCTCCTATGTGGAAGGGAATCTTGCCCGGGCGTGCCAGATCTTCTCCCACCGCCGAAGACGAACGCCCCTCGATGTAGAGGTTAGTAGAGACGCGGAGGGGGCTAGACGAACCAAGGGAGCCTTGCCAAGATAAACCTGTTTATCCCACAAATGACCATGGATCGATGGACGTGGGATAACAAAGACGGGAACCCGTGAGGGTAGACCAGTTCGTCCCTGCGAGTCCTTGGGTATCGAACGTCCTCTTCGAAGCAAGAGACGTCGGTAAGGCTAAAAGGACCACGGACGAACGAAAAAAGGGGGGAATCTCGATGTAGATAAACCTGTTCCTCCTTGCGATGTCGGCGGACACCGAACGTCTCCTCGAAGTAGGGACGCCGGTGGGACCAGGGACCAAGGACGAACGAAGACTAAAAGACTCCAAAAAAAAAAAAAAAAAAAAAAAAAAGATGGGGAGAAGAGGAGGGTAGCTCCTATGTGGAAGGGAATCTTGCCCGGGCGTGCCAGATCTTCTCCCACCGCCGAAGACGAACGCCCCTCGATGTAGAGGTTAGTAGAGACGCGGAGGGGGCTAGACGAACCAAGGGAGCCTTGCCAAGATAAACCTGTTTATCCCACAAATGACCATGGATCGATGGACGTGGGATAACAAAGACGGGAACCCGTGAGGGTAGACCAGTTCGTCCCTGCGAGTCCTTGGGTATCGAACGTCCTCTTCGAAGCAAGAGACGTCGGTAAGGCTAAAAGGACCACGGACGAACGAAAAAAGGGGGGAATCTCGATGTAGATAAACCTGTTCCTCCTTGCGATGTCGGCGGACACCGAACGTCTCCTCGAAGTAGGGACGCCGGTGGGACCAGGGACCAAGGACGAACGAAGACTAAAAGACTCCAAAAAAAAAAAAAAAAAAAAAAAAAAAGATGGGGAGAAGAGGAGGGTAGCTCCTATGTGGAAGGGAATCTTGCCCGGGCGTGCCAGATCTTCTCCCACCGCCGAAGACGAACGCCCCTCGATGTAGAGGTTAGTAGAGACGCGGAGGGGGCTAGACGAACCAAGGGAGCCTTGCCAAGATAAACCTGTTTATCCCACAAATGACCATGGATCGATGGACGTGGGATAACAAAGACGGGAACCCGTGAGGGTAGACCAGTTCGTCCCTGCGAGTCCTTGGGTATCGAACGTCCTCTTCGAAGCAAGAGACGTCGGTAAGGCTAAAAGGACCACGGACGAACGAAAAAAGGGGGGAATCTCGATGTAGATAAACCTGTTCCTCCTTGCGATGTCGGCGGACACCGAACGTCTCCTCGAAGTAGGGACGCCGGTGGGACCAGGGACCAAGGACGAACGAAGACTAAAAGACTCCAAAAAAAAAAAAAAAAAAAAAAAAAAAAAAAAAAGAGAGAGAAAGAAAGATGCCAGAAGAGCACGGAGCAAAGAATGATTTTATCCCTCGGCGCTATTGGCCGGGAAGTACAAACTGAAAAACATATGTAAAAGAATAATTACAAAACTTAAGTACGAAGAATGAGGTGGCCGACGACGATCGGCTAACATCAGGTTTTCTTTTGTCTTAAACGACGAATACCAGCTCCCCAGATCAGGTAGGAGGGACATCGCCCGGATTTATTTCAGGCTCACCATTCCTTCCCGGATGGAGTCCTGGCAGACGATCGGCTTCTCACAGCCAATCAGGAGAGAGACTTGACACATCACCAGCACGGCCGAGGGCCGCGAGAGGCCGAGGGCCATGAGATGATCATCACTATTTTTCTGTATCACGATCGGCCCCTCAGCGCCATCGTGTTCAGATTCACGATTCGGCTCGCCCATTCCCTCCAGGATGGCGACGACCGTCTTATGCAGCACGATCGGCTTCTCAACGCCATCGTGTCTGGCTTCACGGTTCGGCTCGCCCGTTCCCTCCAGGATGGCGACGACCGTCTTATGCAGCACGATCGGCTTCTCAGCGCCATCGTGTCTGGCTTCACGGTTCGGCTCGCCCATTCCCTCCAGGATGGCGACGACCGTCTTATGCCGTACGATCGGCCCCTCGGCGCCATCGTACCTGGCTTCACGGTTCGGCTCGCCCATTCCCTCCAGGATGGCGACGACCGTCTTATGCAGTGCGATCGGCCCCTCAGCGCCATCGTGTCTCCTTCACGTTCGGATCGCCCATTCCCTCCAGGATGGCGATGAACGTCCTATGCAGTGCGATCGGCCCCTCAGCGCCATCGTATCTGGCTTCACGATTCGGCTCGCCCATTCCCTCCAGGATGGCGACGACCGTCTTATGCAGCACGATCGGCTTCTCAGCGCCATCGTGTCTGGCTTCACGGTTCGGCTCGCCCGTTCCCTCCAGGATGGCGACGACCGTCTTATGCAGCACGATCGGCTTCTCAGCGCCATCGTACCTGACTTCACGGTTCGGCTCGCCCATTCCCTCCAGGATGGCGACGACCGTCTTATGCAGTGCGATCGGCCCCTCAGCGCCATCGTACCCAGCTCACGTTCAGCTCGTCCACCCCTTCCAGGGTGGCGACGAACGTCTTATGCATCACGATCGGCCCCTCAGCGCCATCGTGTCCAGATTCACGGTTCGGCTCGTCCATTCCCTCCAGGATGGCGACGACCGTCTTATGCAGTACGATCGGCCCCTCAGCGCCATTGTACCCAGCTTACGTTCAGCTCGTCCATCCCTTTCAGGGTGGCGACGAACGTCTTATGCATCACGATCGGCTTCTCAGCGCCATCGTATCTCTATCACGTTCGGATCGCCCATTCCCTCCAGGATGGCGACGAACGTCCTATGCAGTGCGATCGGCCCCTCAGCGCCATCGTATCTGGCTTCACAGTTCGGCTCGCCCGTTCCCTCCAGGATGGCGACGACCGTCTTATGCAGCACGATCGGCTTCTCAGCGCCATCGTGTCTGGCTTCACGGTTCGGCTCGCCCATTCCCTCCAGGATGGCGACGACCGTCTTATGTCGTACGATCGGCCCCTCGGCGCCATCGTACCTGGCTTCACGGTTCGGCTCGCCCATTCCCTCCAGGATGGCGACGACCGTCTTATGCATCACGATCGGCCCCTCAGCGCCATCGTGTCCAGATTCACGGTTCGGCTCGCCCATTCCCTCCAGGATGGAGACGACCGTCTTATGCAGTACGATCGGCCCCTCAGCGCCATCGTACCCAGCTCACGTTCAGCTCGTCCATCCCCTCCAGGATGGCGACGAACGTCTCTTATGCAGCACGATCAGCGCCCCAGCGCCATCGTGTCTGGCTCACGTTAGGGTCGCCCATCCCTTCCAGGATGGCGACGAACGTCTCTTATGCAGCACGATCAGCGCCCCAGCGCCATCGTGTCTGGCTCACGTTAGGGTCGCCCATCCCTTCCAGGATGGCGACGAACGTCTCTTATGCAGCACGATCAGCGCCCCAGCGCCATCGTGTCTGGCTCACGTTAGGGTCGCCCATCCCTTCCAGGATGGCGACGAACGTCTCTTATGCAGCACGATCAGCGCCCCAGCGCCATCGTGTCTGGCTCACGTTAGGGTCGCCCATCCCTTCCAGGATGGCGACGAACGTCTCTTATGCAGCACGATCAGCGCCCTAGCGCCATCGTGTCTGGCTCACGTTAGGGTCGCCCATCCCTTCCAGGATGGCGACGAACGTCTCTTATGCAGCACGATCAGCGCCCCAGCGCCATCGTGTCTGGCTCACGTTAGGGTCGCCCATCCCTTCCAGGATGGCGACGAACGTCTCTTATGCAGCACGATCAGCGCCCCAGCGCCATCGTGTCTGGCTCACGTTAGGGTCGCCCATCCCTTCCAGGATGGCGACGAACGTCTCTTATACAGCACGATCAGCGCCCCAGCGCCATCGTGTCTGGCTCACGTTAGGGTCGCCCATCCCTTTCAGGATGGCGACGAACGTCTCTTATGCAGCACGTCTGCCCCTCGGCGCTGACATGCCCGGGTTATCGATGAGAGCCACCGCTTTCTATCACATCTCACATTCCTTCTCTCATACATCGCACCCATACATTACATGCATTCATGCATTCATGCATCATACCTCATACATTCATACATACACATGTGCATCGTGTTTTGACAGTACCGCGACATCGGTTTATAGACGCATGGACCTCTAAGCTTCTCCGATTGGAAAGCTCGAGTCAGAGTCCTCTACTCTCGCCTGATGCATTCAGGGGGAGCGTGCCCGTGGAGGAGCACCCTTCGCCCGACCATGTCGGAAAGGGGGGTGCCTCACTGGTAGATTACGTTCAGGAGTACAGACACTCACTCATATATTATGATTATGTGAAGACACAGTTTCCAGCAAGACAGAGGAAGAGCGCAGGCAGAGTATATTTTCTCGAGCAGATTCGCGAGCTCACTACTCAAGAAACTGGGGGACTTGTGTTGGGATATATTATCCCGGCCTATTACTGTTCAGGAGCCCAAGACATTATCCAGTACGGAGCCCGAGCAGCTAGGCCCATTTCGGCCCATCCGGCCCACTTTGACCACCAGGCCTGATATCGGCCCGTTTGGCCCATTAGGGTGGAGAGCCCCTTCTCTCCTTCCCCTATAAATACGGAGCTTAGCCTCCATGTAAAGGATCCCTTTTTCCTTTCTTCTTCTCCCTCCTTAGCTAGATTAGAACTCCATTAATGGGAGCTTCAAACAAATTGTACTATGTAATGGTGAGGAGAGTCCTAATGAGAAAGAGAGGGCTTGGACATTAGCCTAAAAAGTCCCGTGGTTTTCTCCCTTTCGGGTTTCCACGTAAAAACTGAGTTGTTCATACACATTTATACATATATTTACTATATCGTGTTGGATTAAACTCAACAGAAATTAACAGCAGAATCCAAGAAATCTAGATGAATGGAAAAACATTACAAGAACATCACAAAACAAAATTCAAAATATAAACAGATTGATTAAAGAAGAACAAAATGTATGAGTTGCAATTAGAAAGTATATTACTGGATTGAATGCCAACAATTCCGCCTCCAGAATCTATATCCTCAATTAATCTTCCACGGGGAGAAATACAATCTGCACAGAGTAAAAACAAAACAAACAAAACAAATGTAAACTCAAAACTGATCAACTAAATACTCAAAACATATCAACTAATGTAATGAATTAGTTCATAGAATAAGTACCTCCAAAATCAGCCATATGGTCGATAAGAATCTAAAACAGAAAAAAATTGAACTGAAACAACTTATAATAGTTATAACAGTAGCGACAACGTATAACAATACAACCAAAAAATAAGTTGAGTAAAAATAAAGATGATTACAGGAAAAGATAACTTCGATGAAACAAAAAAGAATTTGAAACGAAAGAAGGAAAAAACATATAAATGTAAAACGGCAAAGAAAACTACTTACCTAAATCGATCAGTGAAGTAAAATCGAAACTACGAATGGAGAAAGCTGCAGAAGAAAACCGGGAAGATCAATAACAAATAAACAGAAGAAGGACCGGAAGAACCGATCGAAGAACAAAATCTATGGCATTGCTACTAAGAAGCAATCCGCGGAAGAAGATGAAAGCTGCGAGACGACGACCAAAGGGAAAAAGCGAACAAAGGGAAAAAGAAGAAATAAAGAGGATAGAAGTTGCAGTTTATTACAAAATTACCTGGCTGTACCAAGAGGAAGGTACAGCCGTGTGTACCATATAAATTGCGCCGATCAATGTGAAAGTTACCGCAGAGGTTCCCATATATAAATGGAGAGCGGAGGAGGATTAAGCGCCGAAGATCTGTCAACTATCGGCGGCATCGCGACTGTGTCGTTGCTGCATTCCTTCATTCCTACGCACTGGCTACCTTTCTCCATCGTCGGCCGCGCTCAGAAATGGACACTTTCCCGGACTCTCATCATCAGTTAGTAATTCTCTTCAATCCCTTGCCTTTTTTTTTTTGCATTTTCAATTCATTCACTCGGTTGCTGTAGTTTGAGTTGACATATATAGCGTCGTACTCATCTTCTTCTTTTTCCTTTTTGGGTGATGATAGGTCTGATTTAGAGCTTTTTGTTCTGTCATGTGCGAAAATGGCTTATTAACAGAACGGTTGAATAGGTTGATCAATTTACCGTTCTTTGTAGCCTCTTAGATTTCTAAAATGCATGTTTGCCCATCTTTCCAATTTCATATTTTCATCTATTTAAGTTATCTCTTTATGTCTTACTTCAAGATTTAACGGATTGATCTGTGGTTTATGAGGATGTTTAGCCTTTGGTGCTCCTATGCATTGATGCTTACAATCACATCTCGTTCCCAACCTTAGGACTTCCATGTTTACCAACTCCAGATTTTTCATCAGTTTACTTAATCAGAATTTACTTGATATCTTTAATGGTTACATTTGAACATATGAGTATGTTATGTACCTGGATTCTTTGCTTCACCTGGATTCTTTGCTTCACAGTAATGAGGGCGTTGAAATCAAATTAGAATAAATCAAACAAGAAAATCAATCAGCTATTACTCCTCATTATTCTACTTGATTGCTCTTTTTAAAAACACTTCCCAAAAAAATTATCTAATGAAGGTATTAAAATCAAATCAAATAAGCAAATCAATCAGCTATTACTCCTCATTGTTCTTCTTGTCTCTGCATAATACTTCCTCTGTCCCTTAAAACTTTGCCAACTTTTCTTTTTTGGTTGTCCCACTAACTTTCCAACTTTCCCTTTTTAGTAAAGAATTTGTGGTTCCAAATAATTCTTTCTCCTCTGCACAAACCTCAACCACACATTTTTTACTTTATTAATCAACGTGCCGGTCAAACTTGGCAAAGTTTTAAGGAACAGAGGGAGTATTATATTGTGCAATGCTTCATAGAGTCATAGTAGTGAGTATTTCTATGATAAGAGGTTCAATTATAGTAGGCAATTACCACGTGTGGTGCACTCTGTCTTTATATCTTCGACAAAATAAAAACATAATCCCTGATAAATGTCAAAAGTGTATTTAAATCTTTGGTATATGTGCAACATTTACTCTTTATATTTGGATAGTGTAGTGTATTCTTAATAAATGATACTACCTTCGTCCCGCTTGAAGGTTCCCATTGTAAAATGACACGATTATTTAGACAATAATCATATAAGGTTATTTGAGTCTATTTGGAAAAATAGTTTTGATGGGTATATAATATAATGGGGTCGTTGATGATAATTGTGGTGTTATAAATATATTATTGTAATATTTGACGATAAACTTGTCTTTCCCAAGAGTGTTAATTGTTTCCTAAAATAGAAATGAGAACCTGATAGAGACATCGGTAGACAGCCAACTAATAATCACAGTAATATTAGTTACTACAGCAAAATGTACTCTAGGAGAGGGAAGGGGAATATTAAATAGCTGCTGAGATGTAATAAGGGCCAGGAGGGATAATATAAATAAGCAGTTATAGTTGTAAAAGGGTAGACTAGTATCATCATGTTGGACCTGGACCAGAGAGTTGGCTTTCTTTACATGGGATGCATTAAAAAGGAAAGTGATAACCTTAGAATGGGATAGGGGGAGTACTCTCTCCGCCCCAAAAAGGTTTGCCAACTTTCCTTATTAGGCTGTCCCAAAAAGGTTTGTCATTTCCCATAATAATTTTGTGGTTCACTCTATTTCTCTCTCACCTAACTAAATTTGAACTACACAATTTCTATTTTATTATTCAACGTGCAAGTCAAAGTTCGCCAACCGTTATGGGACAAAGGGAGTATTCGATAAGATTTATTTCATTTTTTGTGTTCCGTCATAGTAGCTCTTGAATTGATTATTTTTCTGCTTTGAAGGTGACTCAAATTTCAATGTCCTTAGGTTATGGTTGGAATGCCAAATAGATTCTTAAAGGAATATATGGTGCCATGGAATATTCATTCTAGAGCCTTAATGAATATATGGTGCATCCAAAATTCCAAATAGAGCCTTGAGGAATATATGGTGCCGTGGAACATCCATTCTAGATATTAATTCTCTGCTGTAGTGCCCACCTTCAATACATAGAAAACTTAATCCTTAAAAGAGTTTTCGACAATAAGTATAGAAAATGCATGGAATGGCAGATTTTCAGGAAACTTAATCCTTAAAACATTTTTACTTCATAAAGAATTGTTTGACAGGAAAATGAAAGAATGCTTTTATGATAGGAATAAATAATGATTGAGCGTGTTCATTAAATAATTAGTGGGCCTATCCTATAAAGAGTATAATAGAAAGGATAAGAAGTCTATTATTAGTTAATAGTTCCTTTTATCCCTGCGTGGATATGGACTATAAATAGAAGGGGATTCAACTAAAATAGGTAGGCTGTTATTGAATTGGCATTTAGGCTTGGGGAGTGGGATTCTCGAACAGTCCCAAGGCTTTGTTTCCGTTCTGTGATTTCATCTTATTCAATAAACCTCTTTCAATCTATTCCCTCCATATTTCCCTAGATCTGTTGCTATTTGCTTGATTAATTCCAGTGTTCTATCATTGGTATCAGAGCAAATCGCTCCCGGTGATTGGAAATTGAGTTACGACTTCCACACAATCTTCGTTTCAGTGGTGAATGGTCCGCACGCGAGGTAAAATGGATATTCGCTTGGACAATTTGGAGCGAAATCTAGTGGAGATGCGAGAGATGCAGGATCGGAAGCTGATGGAGATGCAGGAGGAATTACGATCAACTGTGAATGATCAGAGGGCAGCCACGAACGAGCAACGTTCAGCGATGGAAGGTATCTATCATTCGTAGGTTCCAACCGGATCTCATTCAGAATCCATATGGACCTATGCTAAGACTGAAACAGACCTATGCAGGAATTCAGAGATGAATTTGAAATGGTGATAGCTCCTCAAATTAATGTAGATATGGAGATTCTGAGGGGAATTTTCCTTAATGGGCTGAAGACTGAGATAAAAGCTGAACTGAAGTTACATAACTCCACTTCTTTGAATGATATTATGGACATGGCACTGTTGGTTGAGAATAGAAATGAGGCTATCTATCTGAAGGGTAAAGGTGAAGAAAAGGTGGCTGGGAGAGATAAGGGACCTGTGACTTATAAACCTGCAGTTTGGGGAGAAGGATACAAGTCCAAATCTGGTAGTTCATGGCCCAGTACAAGTGGGAAGGATGCTGCAGGAAACAAGAGTAACCCATCTTGATTTACTCCTGAGGGAAAGGAGACAGAAATAAATCCCTCAGACATCAGAAGGGTGGGGCCACAACGGTCACAAGAAGAATATCTGGACAGGAGCAGGAAGGGACTTTGTTTTAAGTGTGGAGAAAAATGGAGCAAAGAACACTCTTGCAAATTAAAGAATTATAAACTCATACTGGTGGAAGATTCTGATAATGAGGAAGACATAGAAGGTGCAGAGGTGGAAATTAAAGCTGAAGAAGGGACTACCATGGAATTTAAGTCCATGCAACTTTCTGTTATGAGTAAGGAAGGGATACCTTCTCTGAGGACTTTCAAGGTCAATGGGAGTTTAGAATGGGCTGAAGGGAAGACAGAGGTTGCTGTACTCATTGACAGTGGGGCTACCCACAACTTCATTTCCCAGAACCTGGTGAAGCAACTGGAACTACCTTATACTACCATCCCGGGGTACAAGGTTCAAATTGGGAATGGAGAGAAGGTTTCCAACAATGGTCTATGTGAGAATCTGACTTTGTGTATGCAGGGTACTAACATAAAGCAAAAGTTCTATATGTTAAATTTAGAAGGAACTGATTTAGTGTTGGGCATGAAGTGGCTGACTACTTTGGGGGATGTGGAGATAAACTTTCAGAAGCAGAGTATTAAATGGAAGGTTCAGGGGGTAGATCAGCAGATTCAAGGGGATCCACACTTGAATTCCATGGAGATATCACTGAAAACCATGACTCAGATTCTGCAGGACACTGGTGTGGGTTATTTTATGTTTTGTGAAGGACAATCTGTGAAGGAAAAAGGTGTGGCTTGTGCTGGAAGTCTGGAAAAAAATCTGGGGGCTTTGACAAAATCTTGGGTGCAGGATGATCCACAGTTTATTGCAATTGAAGAGTACATGTTCAACCAATGTGATGCAAAGTTGGGGTGACAGTAAAGAAAAGTGCAGTTAAGTTGGGGAAGAAAATCTTGAAACCTGGTTATGAAGCTGACCAACTGTGGAAATTTTACATTGAAGATAAGAATTCCTGTTTCATACTGAAGATAACAACTGCTGAAATGTCTGTGATACCAAAAGATTTGGTATTAAAATTCCTAGTCCAGCAAGCAGTCAAGTACTGGGAGGGGAGAAGTGCAAGAATGAAGTGCAAGTGGGAGATCAGGCTGACTCCTATCACGGGCCTTGTGGACAAGGTGGTTGTTTAGAGGGGGAGTATTGATAGGAATAAATACTGATTGGGCCTATTCATTAAATAATTAGTGGGCCTATTCTATAAAGAGTATAATAGAAAGGATAAGAAGTCTATCATTAGTTAATAGTTCCTTTTATCCCTGCGTGGATACGAACTACAAATAGAAGGGGAGTCAGCTAAAATAAGTAGGCTGTTATTGAATTGGCATTTAGGCTTGGAGAGTGGGCTTCTCGAACAGTCCCAAGGCTTTGTTTACGTTCTGTGATTTCATCTTATTCAATAAACCTCTTTCAATCTATTCCCTCCATATTTCCCTAGATCTGTTGCTATTTGCTTGATTAATTCCAGTGTTCTATCATTTTAAGTTTAAATAGAAAAAGAAATTTTTATGCTTAATTTGAGATAGCAACAGAGTGGTGCCTTTTTTAAGAGCACTGTAATTGCTTAAATAAAAAAGCACCTACCATACATTATCTCAAGCAGGCATTTAATTAGCCTTTATTTCTGTTAAATATTTCTTTTGTTTATATTAGTTGTAAGCGGTAACGATATGCATGTTTTTTGCATGTTTACAGCTGCACTTGGGGCGATTTTGCATGTTTTTTCAACTTCGCTTCTAGGAATAACAGCAATCACCATATCAAACACCATTGCTGGGGAGGAAACTGTGCATAAACTTGCATCTCTGTTGCTCATAGTTCTTGGTGGGAGTTATGCCATCTTGTTCTTCACGGGAAAGGGCAGCAGTCATAGCCATTCACACAACCAACCCATGGAAAAAATGGCTGTTGCGGGGCTTGTTCTTGTGCCAGCTTTGTCTCCTTGTGCAACCACTCTGCCCGTTTTTCTTGCTGTTGGGAATTCATCTTCCATGCTGGTGCTTGCCATTATAGTTCTTCTATTCAGGTAAAGAATGTCCCTGAACTTCGTATAAAGAAATGAACAAAGAAACTCCAATTGGCCCTTGAATTAACTAAAGTAACTTCACAGTGCCCCTGAGTAGTGTAAAAAGGCGTGGTCAACTTTTGTCATGATGTAAAGTTGTGTTTATTTATAATTTTTAATAAGAAAGAACCAATTTTATAGAAGTAACCGCATAAAGAGTTCAATCAGGAGACTCTTTATGCCTCTTCAGACAGCCAGTCTATCCATAAAAGCAGTTCATTGGACACCTCTCCCATTCACATGCTGTATAATCAGACAACAAGATTAGATATGTCAAAAAAGATAACTAATGATAAAACCAGTTGCAACTGCTGAAAGAAAATGAAATAAGTTTAAACTTTGAAATGACTTGGGTAGGACTCTGGATTTACAATGTGTTCTGTAGGCGTTGCAACTGATACTATCATTCCTTATATACCTTCCCATCATCTATTACACTGTTTTCTTTGTGATTCCTACATATATGTCATGTCTGAAGTCAATTATCACTACTTTTGTGAAAGTTCAAAGTCATAATTGAGTTATTTTAGTTACTTGAGGGTTAAAAATGACGTCTGAAATGTTCAGGGCCAATCGAGGCTTTGGTTAACAGTTCAGGTCATTTTTTGGGGCATCTAATCATTTTTCTTGGCTTAATTACCGAGAAAAGGAAATTCCCCCGCAATAGACAAGATTTTAAAGTTGTTTCAATGTGCAGCACCATGACGGTAATGACCTCGCTGGTTGCACTGTCATTTTACGGTGCGAGCCAGCTCAAGTTTCATTGGGTGGAGCGCTATGACAAGCTCCTCGTAGGTTCGGTCCTATGTGTGGTTGGGATTTTAACTCTCATCTTTCATGATCACAATCACGGTGGAGATGCAGCGGCTTCGGCTGCAGACAATCTGCATAGAAAACTAATTGTGTTGTGAGATTATTATATCCTATTTAGTTCTTGTTTTCAAGTACTAAACAAGTCACAGTGCAGCTCAACCAATAGTCCAACAGTAGTGGTATGTTTATAATGTAAAACTACCCCCAGCTTTTTGTTTATTTTATTACTTTATCAATATAAATACGGAGTACAAAACCAATGACGGGCGAGCTTGGTACTATGGTACATTAACATTAAAATAACGTCATATTGTGAATAAAAGTGTTGAGTTGTGATCTGGGAAAAGTAGCTTGTTTGGGTAATTTGTAATATAGTGGTGTCGTTTGTGAATGTAGAGTTGTAGACTGTGATGTATAACTGATTGAGGTCAAAACGTGACATGAAAGTTTGGGGGGCGTTTCAATGTTTAAACACACACAGACCCCCCACCCCACCCCACACACATACATAGAGTAAGGATCATATGAGAATCTCATCTTACGAGAGAAATGAGAATGATTCTAGAGCGTTGGATTTGGGTATTGTGCATCTTGTAAAACAGAAATGTGTATAGAATACAATGGGAAAATGTGCATTTCAATTGTGCAAAAGTTTAAACGTAAATGTGCATATTTGAATTTTGCACTACTTTAATTATAAATGTGCATTTTCGTGAATGATAAAGTGCACCGTTTTGAAGCGTCCTCATTTACCACGTTAAGGAACTGTGCTACACTGCCTACACACATAGAGAGAGAGATGGCATTTCATATCAGGCGGGCCTGACGGGAACCGCCGTCAGGCCGAGGCCATTTGGGGCCCTTCCTAGTGGAATGTTTTGATGTATTTTTTTAACATGTTCCTCATCAAGTCTAGTTTATCCATACCAAATTTCAGCTAAAAATTCAAACGGAAGGCAGTCCAAAAAAATTCCATACGAAAACTGTGCTTTATTATATACTCCCTCCGTCCCAATTTGTTTTGCAAACTCAACATTTTTTGGTCAACTAATAATAAAAGTCAATGCTCCGTATGGCTATTTAATTCAATTTTTAATAGTTAAAATTTACATATTCATAAACTACATTAAAATCTCTTCAAAGTTGTAAACTCCAAATTAAAATATAATTAAAAATTGACATCCTAATTAAGTGAACAAAATGAAACTGTTTGACCAAGAAAAGTCAATTTTGCAAATCAATTTGGGACGGAGGTAGTATATATATATATATATATATATATATATATATATATATATATATATATATATATATATATATATATATATATATATAGGTTTAGGTTCAAATGAGAAAAACATCTTAGGAGAGAAATGAGAAAGATTCTCCACCATTAGATCAAACTATAATTATAGATGTTAGAACAAACTTAATATAACACGATCAAGGAGTTTTTAGTAAATTGATATACTCATTTAATATGTGCGGCTTTTTTGGTCATATGCATGTTCCGTTACATTCTTTGTTTATAGTAGCAAACACCAACTTTCTACTTAGTGGGTGTTTTATTATAATACGGAGTATAATAATATTATTACTCTTCCCATTTTTTTATTTTTTTCTTAATTTCAGTATAATTTTTTTATTTCATCCAGTATAAAAATGTGCACCTCTTATAAGATAAAGTGCACGTTTACATGAACAAAAATGCACATGAAATTCATAAACTATTTTCGTTACTTATATATGTAGAAGTTTAGTTGATGCACTTATGTGATATTATGATGCAATTTTATATTAGACACCTTAAAATGTGAAAAACTTATAAAGTGCATTATAATTTAATTACATGTGCATCTAATTTTGTTGCACTAATTCCGCTTATCCATTGCATAATATTTTAACAAAATGTGCATACGATTGTTCTACTCTCCATTACATATTATAATTAAGTTCAAATTTAGTGCACTACCAATACAAAATTATTGCTCACTTGTAAATTATAATAAATAAATCTAGAATGAAAGTGGATGATAAAGTTTTTAATTAGGTAAGTTGCATAAAAGACCCTTGTACGACAGTTTATGTTTACGTCTAGATAATTTCAATTAGGTAAGTTGCACATTTTCAATTGATAATCTAGATAATTTACATTTTAAAGACTCTACGTGAATAAAAGTATGAATAGCAATGCACGTATTTTTACTCTAATACCCTTGTACGAGTTGAGCTTTTAAGTTTCATTTAATATCATTTATTACTTTCCTTTAAAATAGCTATCATCATGCTAATTGTATGAAAAACGTTGGCCATCAGATTAGTAATCTCAATGGCTGGATTTCATTCTCATTTCTCTCCTGGGACTTCATTCTCACCGGAACCATCCCCTATATATATATATATATATATATATATATATATATATATATATATATATATATATATATATATATATATATATATATATATATATATATATATATATATATATATATATATATATATATATATATATACAACGCAGTTTTTGTAGGGAATTTTTTTACTTCCTTCCCGATTGAATTTTTAGCTGAAATTTGGTATGGATAAACTAGACTTGATGAAGAATATGTTTAAAAATTTTCATTAAAAAATTCCACCGGTAAACTATCAACTCTCACATGCATTTGAATATATACAAAAGTGCACTATTATTCTCAAGGGGGTTATGATTCTGATGTTCCCCCAAGGTATATCCGGTTTGTTGGGTGGAAGAGTTCATGTTCTTTTGATAACCTTGGGTAGCTCTACCGGAGCTTTGTTATAATCTTCCCCTTCTTTGAGTTCTTCAGTTTCCAGTCATATCAATTCAGCAACAGCCCAGAACATAGGCTTTGAGGTTATCGTTAATTGATGGATCTAGAGAGTGTGAGGTAGCTTTTTGTGAAGTTTTCTGGCCAATAACCCTGGAATCACGAAGATTACTCATTATCATCACGTCAAAAATGAGTATTAACAAATGGTTTGAATGGATAGGTGTACAAGTAGTAGCTACCTGAGGACTTCCGCTCAATTATGGGTGGCCCGGTTCCAGTCTGACCGGCCCGAGAATTGGACCGGACTGCCACTGTGCGGGACCGGACCGGACCGGTTAATCGGGACCGGTTTCAGGCCCAGGACCGGCCCGGGGGGATTGTTCGGTGCAGTTCCGGGCTGCACCTCCTTTGGAATCAGCCCGATCCGGTCCCAATTTTTTTTTTTTTTGAATTTTTCAAAGTTTTTTGGTGGTAGGCGGGTAAGGCGGGGTGTTTGGGGGGGGGGGGGGGGTTGCTGGTGAAGGGGGGTTGGAATTAATTATAAAAGCTAAAAAAAAATATAACCCGACAAGAGTCCGACCCGGTCCTGGTGGAGTCTTGGGCCTTAACCCACGCACAAAAAGCCCGGTTTGGACCGGCCCGGAGCCTGGGCCGGAATCGGTCCATGCTTACGCTCAATTCTTGGTCAACATCTATGAAAGATGAGTCTAAGAGCGTTCTGTATGGCTCGACCAAGTCAAAGGTTAAGGGAGGATGGTTTTGGTTTTGGGCTATTGTTAGGATTGAGATGGTTGAGTCTTAGAGCATGGGGGTTGATGTGGTTGAGGCTTGGGTTGGCTGGAGGAGCACCTTTCTCAAGTGTCTGTTGCCTCTTCTCCCCCTCATGAGGATTCAAATTATCGGGGTCCTCATGTGGACGTTTAAGGCCGCATAGACTGTCACGTCAGGTAATCTCGATTTCAAGGAGGTGGGAGGTGGAGAAGTTTGTGGTGGGTTGGTGAGTAGGCAGAGGTAAATGATGTCAGTTAGGTTATAGAGGTGCTCGATATTTGGGCCAATGCGATTGAAGAGCCGGTTCGGGGAGGACACTATCTCAGTATCATGGGTTCCCATTGGTGATATGGTGGGTGTGGGTAAGCGGTGGATGGAGTGATCAAATAGGGACAGAGATATGGTAAAAGTTGGTTGTGGCTGGGATGAAATTGGATCTATTTGCAACACTTGGGTTTTTCTAAAGTCTTGTACAGTTGCGGCTATTGCAGACTGTACCTTGGGGAAGAAGGTGGACTCCAGATAACGCTGCAAAAGATCCATAATGAGTATTTGGGTGGTTAGGTTGTCACTTCCGGTAGTGGGAGGGCTTACCGTTTTCACATCATTGGTAAAGATTACCAGTGTGTGACCCGCAGAGAAAGATGTAATCAAATGTTGTGTAGCAGGACTTCCAAACATCTTAGATGTCTCTCCGGTTGTTGTAGTCAGGTGGAGTGCACCTGTAGTATAATGTGTGTGTGTTGTGTGTGTGTGTGTGTCCTAGAAAGTGAAAAAGATATAGGAATTGTAGGACCTAGACTCATCGTGATAGAAAGAGGGGTAGTGGTGTGGGGTCGTGGACCACTAATATTCTCAACTGCTCAAAAAGGGGGCAGATAGATCTGTGAAGGTTCCCTGTGACTGTGGAATCTTAGCCTGTTTGGGAGTCTGAGGAGTGGCGTTCAATTGATAAAACTATAATTTATATGTCTTTGACTAGTCTCTACCTAGGTGCATAGGCGTTGGGTTGGCGTTCAATTAGCGTCTAGCCCCTTTTACAATTTAGTTCAATATTACAATATTTTCTAATAAGTATACATTTTTTGGAACATTAATAAATATTACTCTTGTTGAGGTTTATTCCTTCAACCCTCGGGTCCAACACGTAAGCCCAAGGATTTCGAGTGGAGTGTGTATGAATATCTAGCCCAACTAGCAAGTGATATGGATCAAGGAGAATAGTAAGCAGCAGGTAAGTGATTAGGTATTATTATCTCTTAATAACTCCCTAATATAATACTTCTCACTAAGGCTCGTCGGCCGTTCGTCTTATAAGGTAGTAGAAGTGCTGCGAGTAAGAATGCTATAGCGAGAGTGCTAAGAATAGAAAGTTGCCAACCCTTTACAATGAAATAAATGCTTCTATTTATATCCACCAATGGGCAGGTGGCTATACTGACGTGGAAGCCAGTGGTTCGCTGGTGTCTCAACCACCAAATCTTCAACATTAAATGCACTTCCCGCCAGAATCTAGGTTTCCCGCCTAATTAGTGGGGACGTTCGTCCGTCCGGGGAGTGAGCTGCCCCTGGTGGCCTCCAGGGGTTATTGGCCGTTCGTCCCCTGGCCTTTGAGGATTCTCGCCATGTGGACTGGACTGCCTCCGATGGCTATGGGCTTGTTCTGACGACGTTCGTCGTCATTCTGGTGGCCTGTGGTCCTGCTCCTTGTTTCTGCATAGACGTTCGTCGAGATGGGCCGTTGACCCTGAACCCCATCTGCAGACGATTGTCCATCCTGGAGGAAATGGGCTTGCCAGGCTAGCCTAGAGTTCTATCTGGACGTACATCCGGAAGAAGGGGTAGATGGGCCGAACCCCAACTTGGGCCATTAACCCAACAACTCTGTATTAATTAACTAGTTTAGTAACGTGCGTTGTGCGTTCGTGGAAATGCCCAATGCCATTGTAGGGATATCAATTCCTCGTTAATGTTTTTCCGTGTTTAAAATACTTATTCATCACCTCGTGTTTCACACGAATATCTTTCTACATCGTCTCTACTCACACATACAAAATATCATGTCAAAGAGTATCAAATCATGTGAAAACAAAATGTTTAAATACCCAAGATGCTTCTTATCTTACTTAG